TATATATATATATATATATATATATATAAAATTAAGGCAGATTCTTACTTATTGACTCTTTGTATTTCTTCTTCTGCAAATGGTTCATGGCCTCTACTTATTTTTTTCTTGCAATGTTAGTATTTTCTTACTGATCTATAAACTCCATGTAACAAGAACAGCTACCCCTTTTTTTGGTCATGTTGTATTTGTTGCAAATGTTTCCCAATTTCTTTGATTTGATTTTGTTTATCATACTCTGCCTTGCAGAAACTTTTAACTTTTGTTCAATCAAATCTGTTGGTGTCTCTTTCATATAACATACAACCTATTCTATTTAAGAATACAAAGGGGGTTATTAGAAGGATAGTAGTTAGCTCCCAGAAACATACAAAGAGATCCTACAGAAATCAGGGCAACTCTGACTTTAGGAAATGAAACTAATCTCAACATCATCCAACCTGTAAGTCTGTTCTTCTGCTTTCCTCATTTCCTCTGGTCTCCAGTTGGCTTCTTATTTGTCTACCCTCAGCTTTCTCCAGACTGCTATCCTTTTAGCTTCTAAAAGAGAGGCCAAAATTAAAAAGAACGAAATCTCGCCATTTGCAACTACGTGGATGGAACTAGAGGGTATTATGCTAAGCGAAATTTGTCAGTCAGAGAAAGACAAATATCATATGACTTCACTCAGATGAGGACTTTAAGAGACAAAACAGATGAACATAAAGGCGGGGAAGCAAAAATAACACAAAAACAGGGAGGGGGACAAAGCATAAGAGACTCATAAATATGGAGAACAAACTGAGGGGTTGCTAGAGGGGTTGTGGGAGGGGGGATGGGCTAAATGGGTAAGGGGCATTAAGGAATCTACTCTTGAAATCATTGTTACAGTCTATGCTAACTTGGATATAAATTTTTTTAAAAAATAAATTAAAAATAAATAAGTAAATAAAAATAAAAGAGATCAAGAGGACTTATCTTCGGGTAGAAAATCCTAGAGAAGGACTCTGGCTGACTTTGACTTAACCTTGTGAAAAGCTTACCTCCAGGCCAGTCTTTGTGCCAAGAAAATGAAGGACTCTGATTTGCCAGAAAAAGGATCTATCCAGAGAGAAATGGGCAGCTAACCTGAAACAGTGGGTTAGGACACTAAGCAAACAAAACAAAATAAAACAGAAACAAAAAAAATCAAGTGTCCATTAGACAATTTTCCTCAGTACTTTCTTTTACTAGTATGCTGCTTTTTTCATCCTGAAATCAAGAAATTTTTCTTCTGGATTTCATTTTTTATATGTGGCTCTATCTTCACCAAATGCTTCATTCCTCCTCCTGATATTCACTTCATCATTTCCACTGATGTGGCCATAGCCAGTATGGCTAGTTCAGGGCCCTGTGTCTTTCTATGTGGTCTAACAAGCTCATGTTCCTGGTTCCCCCC